TTCTAAGACACGGTTGTTTTTCAGATGACACCTTTCCACTTTTCAATATCTACTCTGCCATATGCATTGAAATTGCCCACTAGAGTGATGGATTCAGCAGGCAACACAACGTTAGCTGCCTCCACTTCATTCAAGAATGACCTTGCCGAGACTTCTTCTAAAGTATTAACATAGATTTGTAACAAGCTAAAGCTTTCGCCTGTTGCAACCTAACTCTGAACTCTGCCACTGCCACTCTTCCGCTGGCAGGCTTCCATTGAATGATTCTGCCGGCCAGACAGTGTTCTACTAGAACATTAACACCGGACTGGGCGCAGGTCATAGAGTCTACAACGGAACGGAAAAACTTTCCCCCGCAGAGGTTCAGAATACGAGGCCCCTGATGTTTCGCTGTCGATTGTCAAACTATGTTAAGGTGATTCCTTTCGGCTCCGACACATAGTTCCTGCTCTTTTCCTCTGAACGAGGAGAGGCTATAATTTTTGGCTGTGAGCTCCCACTGTTGATATCGTCTGAGTCTTATCTGACGCGCCGTCATGGCATCGCACTGACTGTATAGTCCTAGGCTAGCGATTCCTTTTATGACTGAAATCTTCATCATCCTCGTACAGATCTTTGGCAGGCGTCGCCGTCTTTGTACACAAGCAGATTCAGGTCGCCGAATTTTTCTAGTTGTTTGTTTTCCAACAACCTACGAGGCGCTTATTAATCATGGCGACTATATATCCGGTATAAAGTTCAACAACTATATGTGAGGGCTAAATTTTGCGGGAAACATCGTTACAGCCCTCAATCCTCCTCTTTCCGTCCGGGCTTGTGGCAGGAAACGGTGAATTAAAATATCAAATATTCCATCAACAGTTCCTGAGTTCCTTGCAGTCGCAGGATTAGAAGGTATGATCCAAATATGGCTATTTCTGGCTCAGCTTTCTTTTGACAAACCTATATCACGTCGCGGACATACACAATTCCATCCGAAACGAGGGGGATTTTGATCTGTTATATATTTCACCTGGCCATATTTTAACCGCGTGCCAGGTCGACATTGCCGCGGTGTTTCCAATAAAAACGACTACTGCTTGTTAGAACTTCACGCCACGCACGGCGACGTCAATGGCGGGACGCTGTTTCGCATCATCGCACCCATCGGCAGACGTGGACCAGGCAGGAGATCAATTCGGAAGCCAAATCGATCACGTGCTGATCAGCGACTAATGGCGATGTGCCCTCTACGACATTCGGATGAAACGAGGTGGTGATATCGGAACAGATGATTTCCTAGTGGTCGCGAAGCTCCGCCTTAATCTGACAATAACTGGCAAAACATCCGTTTTGATACGGAGAAATTGAAGGATCCGGTTCCTCATGAGGAATTCCCCATATAAATCAGCAG